GTCTCTTAAAAAAAAAAAAAAAAAGCCTACATTTCTTCAATATTAAAACATTTAGGTTCCAGTAGCCTCCACTGACAGTTAAAAAAAAAAGCTAAACAAATTCCAACAGCCTAAAGACTGTCGGAAAAATCCAGCAAGCTTTCATTAATTTCTTAAATTATACAGGAAGACTCACAGCCACGAACCCCTGGTTTCTAGAACTAATGAAGCAAAAGGGCAAAAAAAAATTTTAACAGCCTTTTGCTCCCTCAAGTCCTTGTTATAGCCAGCCAAGCGCTGGGCTGCAGCTCTTAGGAAGTGCAACATCTACAGATGCGAGCAGCTCCGGCAGAACCAGGAGACGCAGCGTCTGAGAGCTCCCTCACAGTTCCGGAAGCCGAGCCAACATTTTCTGAACTCTAGCTAAATTCATACCCCCTTATTTTTCCTTTATTTGGATGGGGAGGAACTGTGAGCCCATTGATTGCTGCTTCTAGTACTAGTAATTCTGTTTTGAGTCCCCTTTTGAAGCTGGAAGGTTGGAACTCCGTCTTTGCTCGGCACTGAGAAAGGCCTCTGCTTTTAATATTGCATTACTGAGCAATGATTATCATCTTGCCCATATATTTGCAGCAGGTATCAGTATGTGGTCCAAAGCTTTTAGAACTATTCAGGGGAACAGCTCTCACTGACTTTTCACTGGAGAAAGCGGGACTTCCAATTACACAGGAAAAATGCAGCAAAATGAGGAACATCTCCCTAATTAGCCTGGCCTCACTGGTATGTCATTCTGGTGCAGATGTGAACATCTAAAAGGAAGAAGGTGGGGGGCTCTCGAGTGAGCCCTAGACCACCAGCTCTCCAGGTCTGTTCTTTCTGAATTGGGGGGATGGTATGACCACCTGGGGGCTAAGAAACAAGGTCCCTGAGGAAGCCCTCGAGCAGCACCCAGACCCCATTAGAGCCGCCCCACATAGTATGGGGAATGCAGGCACGGAAGCTCCTTCCCCCTGCGCCAGCCCACATTGGTCCACACTGGCACACCTGGAAGGGAGGGCGCCTTGACCAAACCTCTGCTGAAGGCTGGTCTGTCCTACGGCGTCCTCGAGATGAAAGCTGCTGGCTGGGTGCTCAGAAAGGATCTTCTCTCCCAGAGCTCATGCATTTAAAGGGGTTATTTGCCCAGCTGCAAAATGGACTGCACGTTCATAGGGAAGCAGCAATTTTGGCTGGATGGACTTTTATGGCTGCAAATTCTGGCAAAGCAAGAAGTCATCAGTCAATATGCAGCACCAGACGACTGCCATGATGGGACGTTAAGCCATTCCCAATAAGCCTGCATGTCGAGGTTCGCGGGTCTCATGTCCAGGAGTGGCTGGATGTGGAGGTATCAGTCAATCCCTAATTAGAATACATTATCCATCTTCCTGACACTTCAGTGAAATGTCTATTCCACTCTGAGCTGCAGCTTTGTTCAGAGCAGGTTAATTGATATTCTGATGCCTTCGCTCACCATACCCCCGTGGCTAGGTTCTGTTTCATCACACATCAAAAAGGCCGTATGCTCAGGGCACTCCAGGCACCAGCGCAGAGCTGGAGGTCTGCACAGCTGCGAGGGGTATGGTATCACAGGAGGGACAAGCACTGAGCAGATGTCACAGATGAAAAAAAAGAAAAGAAAAGAAGCCCGCCAGCCTAGGGAACTTGGCGAGGCCCAGCAGAGCACGGCCTGATGCGGTAGGAGCCGTCCGGCTTTGTGCGAACACTGGCCTCTTTTGCCCTCCTGACTATTATTAAAGCGCAATTAGCAACTTCACATGGGAAGGCTCTGTTGCCCTCTGGGCCTCTGCCTTTTTGATGCGTTCCCTTTCTGCTCCTCCCCTCTCCTCCCAGGACCAGAGCGTGGTGCTCCCCTGGGCGTTTCCCCCAGTCCTGCCCCTGATCTGGCTCCCAGCTCCGGCAGCAGACTCCACCGAAGGCATTCCCAGGAGCTGCATGCTCGATCTGCA